GACGAAAGCTTATGCTCTAATAAATTTGTTAGTCTCTAAGGTGCCACAAGTACTCCTGTTCTTTTTAAGATAAATGGTTTTTTTAGCTGTTAGAGGTGGGGACTGTGAGTCAGCACTTCTGGGTTCTGTTTCTGCTTTTGTGTGACTTTGGGCAAATCACCTCACCTTTCTTTGCCTCGGTTCCTCCATCTGTCAAGGGGAGATAACAACACCTCCCAGGGAAACTGTGAGGTGTACTTTCTCATAATTGCAAAGTGCCTTGAGATCCTTGGCTAAAAAGGGGAACAAAGAGGACCCCAGGGAATTACAGACCAGTAGGCCTAAATTTGATACCTAGAAAGATACTGGAACAAATTAGTAAACATTCGGTGTCTAACCACCTCGAGGATAAGAGGGTTATAAGGAATAGCCAGCATGGATTTGTCAAGAACAAATTCCAAACCAACCTATTTTCCTTCTTTGACAGGGTTACTGGCCTAGTGGAAGCAGTGATATATCTTGATTTTTAGTAAGGCTTTTGACACAGTCCGACATAACAGTCTCATAAGCAAACTAGGGAAAGTGGTGTATATGAAATTACTAGAAGGTGGGTGCACAACTGGTTGAAAGATCGTACTCAGAGTAGTTATCAATGGTTCGCTGACAAACTGAGAGGGTGTGTCTGATTTGGTCCCTCAGGAGTCAGTCCTGTGTCTGGTTCTGTTCAATATTTTCATTAATGACTTGGATAATGGAGTGGAGAGTATCTTATAAAATTTGCAGACGACACCATGCTGGGAGGCGTTGCAAGCACTTTGGAGGACAGGATCAGAATTCAAAATGACTGTGACAAATTGCAGAATTGATCTGAAATCAACAAGATGATGAAATTCAGTAAAAACAAGTGCAAAGTACTTCACTTAGAAAGGAAAAATGAAATGCATAATGGCAAAATGGGGAAAAACTGGCTAGATGGTACTACTGCTGAATCTGGGGGTTATAGTGCATCACAAATTGAATATGAATCAACAACGTGATGCAGTTGCAAAAAAGGCTATTATCATTCTGGGGGGTGTTTTTAGGAGTGTTGCATGTAAGGCACTGGAAGTAATTGTCCTGCTCTTCTCGGCACTGATGAGGCCTCCCCTGAAGCATTGTGTCCAGCTCTGAGTGCAACACTCAGAGGAAAGATGTGGACAAATTGGAGAGAGTCCAGAGGACAGCAACAAAAATGATAAAAGGTTTAGACAAGCTGACCTTTGAGGAAAGTTAAAAAAAATGGGGCGTGTTTAGTCTTGAGAAAAGAAGACTGAGGGAGGACCTCATAACAGTCTTCAAATAAGTTAAGGGCTGTTATAAAGAGAACGGTGATCA